TAGTCTCTTCCGTTTTATGATGTCGATGTCAGATACACGTGTACTGTAGAAAGAAAAGAAATGTTCTTTGTTCCTTTTTTTTTTCTTAGACACGATTTATAGAGTAGTATAGTGTTTTTACTGGCTTTCTTCATGTACTTAATTGTTTTTGTTAATTAATAGAATGTTGTTTTGATGAGATATATTTATATTTGATAGAAAACTAACATATAATTTTATTGTATTCAATAATTTTTCATTCCATAGGAAATTATTATGAATTTGATTAAATATTCTTGAGTTGAATTTTACAAAATCTATCATAAAAATAATAATGAAAAATCTTAATTTAAAATAAGTTTTTGTTTTTCAATAATATTTATTAAATAAATAATGAAATGATTCATATTTTAAGAAAAATTGTGTATGTCAAATAAATAATTTTGTTATATTTATACATATCATTTATAGGACAAGAAATTGTTGTTTTCTAACGAGAGAACATAAATATTCTTTTCTGTCAATGATTCAATAAAATTTTATGCGTAGCACATATGACTATTTTATAATTATGAAATATTCATTAAGAATATGTATAACGTAATAAAAAAAAGTACAATACATTTGACCAAAATGTCAAACTTATGTCCTGTAATATATTTTTTCGATATCAAATCACTTGTTCTAGACTTACTACGCCATCTACATACAATTAATCTTCGGACAATAGTTTATAAATGTATTTAAAAACAAAATTCATTATCATAGATAGCTATTTATATCTATAATTATTAATCATCCAGGTTGCATTCTGTGAATTGCGATCATAACAAATGATTGTTTAATAACTAATCATCGAGTTTATCTAATTAGAATAATATCATTTATCACAATAAGAAAAAGTTTTTTAGAAAATTGAGCTATTCTTATATAGTATTCAAATACTTTTTTTCTTACTATCGATTAATCGTGATTTCGTCTGTATGCGTATTAGTTACAAGAGAAACCTTAATGCTTTCCGTTTGACGCTTTAGAATGTCCCTTGCTTTTTTTTGCTATTCTCTTGCCTTTCTTTTTTATTTTTCTCTCTTTCGTTCTTTCTTCTTCATTCTCTTTTCATCATTTTGCTTTATACTTCCTTGCGTTAGTCTAACTTTGTTTCATATTCAATGACAATTCCTTATTCTTCTTGGTGAATACAATCATTATTATTATTATTAAGATTATGGCTTCAGCTCGAAATCTTTGTCAACATTCAGATATAGATGGTAATCAATGTACATCAAATGATTATATACTTTGTCCACATTGTCAATTACAATTATGTCTTAAACATTTAAATTATCATCAAGATTTACTTCGTCAAGATTTATATTTTTTATCTGATAATATAAATCATGTTCGTTTTAATCTTGATAATTTAATATTTGATTCAACAAATCATCGTCAAGAATTATTTCAAAAATTAGATGATTGGTATAATGAACAAATTAATTCAATAAATAAAATTTATAATGATAAAAAACAACAATTACAAATATTATGTTTACAAGCATATATAGAATTTGATACATATAAAATAAAAAAAGATAAACAATTAAAAAATAATTTAATAAAACAATTTAAAAAAGTACTTAAACAAAAACAAATAAATATTGATGATTTAAATGAAATGAAAAATAAATTAGATGATATTGAAAGAGGTTTAGATGAACTTAAACAATTACTTATTGATATTTATCCTGATAATACAACTATGGATATTCATATTATTAAAAGACGTTATGTTGAAGCAACAAAGGTATGAAAATTAAAAAAAAAAGTATATTATTAAAATAAATTTATCTAAAAGAAAAATTAAACTAGAATTTTTCATAGAACCAATCTTTATTGAATAATATTTTTAAAAAAAATGGATGATTTTTTTTCCTCATTATACATTGTTATGTAGATAAATAGTTTTTTTTTTGGTTTGTTTTAAAGGCAAAACAAACATATTTTAATATTTGTATTTTAGTCAACATTTAACGACGATGATGATGATAATGATAATCTATGGGATACAGATGATGAAGATGAATTCGATGATAGAACAAAATCATCTGATGATATTGAAAATTTCGAAAAATTAACTAATTCTACTCAAGATCTTCTGCCTTTATCTAATATTATTTCATTATCATCATCATCAATATCTTCTCCGTCTGTTATTTCTTCTTGTTCATCATCATCATCAAATACAATCACTAAAAAAGCACCACTAAAATTTATTATCAAAAGATTGCAACAACCACCAACTTCGACTAAAATCAAATATGAATTACATACAATACCTACATCATCAGCATTAAGAACATGAAAACAATATAAAAATGTTTATATTTTGTGTTGATTTTATTTTCAATGTTATTATTTTCTAGTAAAACGAAATAAGAAAAAATAAAAATAATTTCTAATCTCTTTGTTTTTATTTTTGTTTCATCAATATATTCATTAGAATATTTCTATTAATATATTAAATAATAGTGAATTATCAACATTCATTTAATATTATTAATTGATTTTTAAATACAATATATATTGTAAGAATAAAAGAAAAACCTACAACATATATATATATATATAGATTATTCATATTGTTTATTATTAAATTCAGCAAGGTTATAATATGAAAATTTGTTGTTTTTCGAAATCCGTCGAATATTTTATCAACGGTATATTGACATGCCCTGGAATATTTGATGAGTGCGAAAGCAAATACACGCCATCAAAAAGAAAAAAAAAAGATATATCATAATATGACGGTTTTTTCCCTGTTCTGTAGTATTCTGAGAAAAAAAAACAAGCTCCGAAGGATTGTTAGTCTCTTTTGATCAGTCCATCCAATCAGAAATATATAATATAAATGCGAAGAAAAACATTCTTCATACTAAAATAGAATATCTATATGATATTTATTATTATTGTTAAATGAACGTAAATCTTTTACAAATCTATTCACTTGAGTAACCTAATTATACAAATTTCTATTTTTTTTTATTAAAAATTCACTAGTGAATATTACAAGAAGTAAATGTTTATGTATCACAAATTTAAATATAAAATAAAAGTTTCATATTGTGCATTGACTTTGTTTTTTATCTGAACATCGAAAAACCATTAGTCTTATAAAATTGTATATCTGAATAATGCCTTGTTTTAAAATCACTCCTAATATATTAAAACTTGAAATAATCAAATCAAAAAATGTACAATGTAGCAGCATGTAAAATTAAAATTCTAGAAAAGAATTCATTCGGTACACTACAGAAAATGAATGTACGCATGGAAAAAATCTATTCAGTACATTTATGTTTACTAATACACGAATTATCAATAATGACATATTTTTCTCGTCTATTAGCACATCATAAAATCTTGATTTGTTTAAAGCAATGTTTTCTTAATAAAAAAATTCAACTTGAAATTCTCAATAAATACAAATTTCTTCATTTTTAAAAAGAGATTATAATTAAATACAACTTTTAAAAATTCCATAGCTTGCAATGATTTTTTCTGAGAAGTTCATGTAAGCTAATAGTCTTATTGTGAAAGATTTCTAATATATGATTATTATTAGTTTAATCCAACTAATAACTAAGAATTGATATGATGGAAAAACTCTGCAAGGGAAAATTTCAAAAATGTCGAATCTGAAATAAGTAAATTTAGTAACGAAAGTTTGTCAAAATGGAATAATTGTGAAACATTCACTTTTGGATGTAGCATATCGGTGGCTAGTAGACTGTCAGCATTATTCTCATATCCACAGTCTCCAAAAAGTGCATCCTATGAAATGTTGATTATATTTGATTACTCTTTTCGAGATTTTTTTCACTACGAAATTTAAATATAAAATAGTTTCATTATTTATCAATTACTCGATCGATTTTTATCATGTTTGAATATGAAACTTACAAAAATTTCAATTTATTTTAATAATATAAAAAAATCTATTGAAGATATTTATAACAATTTCAATATATATTTTTTTTCTTTGACACTTGTAAATTATTACACAGATCAGGGATCGACAAGTCAATGATTTTTCGACGCAATAATAATTTCGAAAAATAGATTATTATCAAATCAGATAGCCAATAAAAATTGAAAAAAGTTTCTGTTTTGTAAGTATGTCAAAACCCTTCATTATATTTCAACTTCGATGCATTCTTGCTGTTCTTAATTGCTATTTTTCCACTACATTTCAACTTAGACATCAAAATTGAAGTGCATAAGACACATACATATATATTTTCTTTTTCACTTGATTTGATATAAATAACTTGACTTCAGTTCTTCATCTTTAATATAAGCATGATAAGTTTGATTAAATACGTAAGTATAAAATGATTGAACGTTTTTTCTTTTTTCTTTCAATTGAATGAAGAGATCTTCAATTCTTTCGTAATCAAATAATATAAATATTTTTTAAAGATTATAAATAGAAAAGTTTTCTTTTATTTGTATTAAAAAAATTTACATTGAATTAATTATAATTGCTAATTTAAAAATAAAATCATTTTCTAAATTTAATTGATTTATTTCATAATATCGATTAATCTATTACATTATGTTTTCTTTTTCTAATTTATTTGTTTGCTTGAAGACAATCATTCATATGTTATTGTTTCGCTTTGTTCTTTACAAATGTATGTTATTATTCTCAGATTGACACACACACACACATAGAATTGGTTTGATTTCATTTATATGTTGTTGTTGTTGTTGTTCTTTGAATAGCCTTACACATTTCATTTTATTCACTTGTCTCATTCAGCTTCTTTCTTTTTTCTTCTTTTTACTTCTACCGAACTGCTTCTTCGTGAACAAAATTTCATATCCGTTTTTCTTCATTTTTTTTTCTTCTTCTTTAAATATATATATATATATATGTCTTTGTATGCATAAGAACAGTAAACGAGAAGGAGAAAAAGTTTGTTGTTAAAAGTGTCGATCGTTTAACAAAGCAATAAAAAAACATGACATCGTCGTCATCAACAACACATAATTTATTCGATCGGCCTGAATTACTTGATAATCAAACTCGTTTAATATTATCTGCTGATATTAAACCAAAACGACTTAATCGTAGTGCAACACGTTCAGCTGGAATACCTAATATACGTGAACGTTCAGATTCAGGAACAAGTACATCGGTTATTCAAGAAATTGATAATGATATTTTAGATGGAAATACTGAAATTAATAATGATGATTATTATTTAACTCGACAAATATCAATTACACAAAATGATATTAATTATGATACAGATATTGAACAAGAACAAGAATCAACAAAAGATTACACATGTAAAGGTCTTTATTTAGATCAATGTCGTCGTCATGGTGTTATACCATCAACACATTTTTTACGTCATATTAATAATGAAACATTATCAATACGTTATTGTGGTTTAAAACCTATTAATATTAAAGTTATGGTACCATCATTAAAAATTAATACTATAATAACAAAACTTGATTTAAGAGATAATGGTTTAGGATCACGAGGTGCTGTTTATATTTCACAATTAATTAAAGATAATGAATATATTGTTGAATTAAATCTTTCAAATAATGATATTGGTTTACAAGGTATGAATATTTTTAAGTAAAATAATCTAATTTAAAATAATTGTAAAGTTAAACAGAAGAGTTATATTTATGTTTTATAATGTTTACAATTTATTATAATTAAACAAAATCGATCTGTAAATATAATTGAGCATATCATGTTTTTTGTTTTTCAGAAAACAAGAAAACTATTATTATTGAATGAAAAATAATGATTTATTATGTAGAATTTTCTTTATTTACGATTAAATTTAAATTGAAACTTTTTTTTTTATTCATATAATTTCTTCGAATTCAATACTGATTATATAAATATAAAAATAGATTTCTACAATAAATAAATATTTAAAGTCAAATGACGGGAAGTTATTATATATGACGATAGAAATGTTGAACGTTCTTTTATTCGTTAGTAAAAGTGTTTTCAAATTAGAGTACAATTGAAATTATTATGAAAGTATTTCTTTTTTTGTCTGAGGTAAATATTGAAGAAAGAAGAATATCCCTGCCTTTCACCTAGATTTCAGTGTAGGATGCTGCTTAGTGGTAGGTTCAATAACCCGATATCTCTCTGCAACTAATATTAGTAGTAGTTCTGAATGGAGTTTTTGCGCTTCCCGTATACACTGACTAAGTGTAAGAGCAGATGTATGTCACAACGGATAGGTGACTCAAGACAAACATCCATTAATGACTTGCCCCAGGATCATTTCGTGGCTAGTAGCATCTTGTGGATACGTGTCGAATAACGTAGCCACTCAGCCGTAGCAGTGAGTCTGTGGTGAATACGCGAGGGTGATCGTTACAAATACAACATATTCTTCTATTTTAAATAAAAAAATGCAGTAGATTAAGTAAATATTAACTTGATTTACAATCTGTTAAATCTTAGATGAAATCAAATTATTCAAAAAATGACTTGGTGATTGTTATTAACTGGAAATGAATTCGAGACGATTACAGACTGTTGCTGTTCATTTGGGATAGAAAGCTCGACTTGTTGTCAGTGTTAACGCCAGACACTTGATTCTTTTTCAAGATTTTATACTGCTCAAAGCACTATCGATCAGTATGCTTTGTTGGAAAAAATATGTTGTTATCAGAAATTATTCTGGAAAACTTTTGGATTATGATAATGTATAAAAGTTTCCAGAATACACTAGTAGAATTTTCTTTATTTAGTGGAAAATTTATATGTGCTGGTCGGAGTACCATACATAGCACAGTTTTTTGTCAATTAATTATTGATTTTTCGTGAATATTATTGAGCAAGTAACTGTCCGATGAGATCCGAAGACT